GGGGGGGGGGGTGGGGGGGGGGGGGGGGGGGGGGGGGGGGGGGGGGGTGGGGGGGGGGGGGGGTGGGGGGGGGGGTGGATATTTTAAACTTTAATTTTTATTCGTTGGCTTGAGCTTAGTTTTACAAGCTACTTCTACAGGAAGTGTTCGGTGGTTTTAACACGTTAGCGCTTCCGGTAACTGTAGTAACTTAGAAAACGAAAGTAAGAATTTTTTCGGAAAGCCTAGCGGTTCGATTTTCTTACAATTGTGATCTGCAAACTTTTTTTTAAAAATGTTTAAAACTGCAACTAACCTTTGCTATCTTTAATTTTTTTCTTAGAACAAAAAGGTAAGATAATGATTGTAATTATGAAGTAAATATTTCAAATTTACGTAATAAAGTCTCCCCCACACACAACTTCAAGCAGAAACAGTATCAGTAAGCCGCTACAGTTCAGTAGAGTTGGGTAAACAGTAATATTAGTAGAGTAGCCTGGTCCGAGGAGTGTTGTTAGAAGGATAGTGTTAGTCCTACTTACTGTTAGACTACAATCATGACTGCAGTGCTTATACTTATATTTTTCATTATTTCTTTTTGAGACTAGTCATAGTGCTGTGCTTTTTAAAGGCAACAGCAGCTTTAACATTTAACCCTCTGGAGAGGAGCCTTTTCGGGCTGTCTGTGCCAAAAAGACGGAGCGCTTTTTACCAGCTTGGCACACGCATTGCAAAAAAATTTATAAAAAATAAACTATTCCCTTAATATATGTAAAACTATATAGGCCTATATTCTTGTAGGAAATTGAATGAACTAATGCAATCTTTATGAATCAAACTGAAATATCAACATTTATGCAAATGACCTACCCTGATTTGCATACTTTATGCATGTAATTTTTTGTTAAACCTAGAATAAACATGACTTGTATCAATTGTGTAAATTTTTTTATGGATAAAGCCTGAATAAGTCCCAACACTTATCATGACTTATGTCTATGTTTTTGGGAAACAAGGCCCATGGAGGTCCTTCAGATACATCAGTACTAGATTCACTGCTAGAATATCAAAATCACTAAGCACAGTTTGATCAGAGTCACTGTCAGACATGTTCGAATTTCACGATGTAACTACATACACACAAAAAAATTTCCTGCACACAAATAAATTGTGTTCACTTTCAACTAACGCCGCCATTACAATGCCGGAATGTGCATGAATTCGTACGAATAATTTTGATTCGCTTGTACAACATCAAGCCAGCCAATTGTGAGGCCCGATTTATAGGGTCAATGGTTCGGACTTGCGTCTTTCTCGCTAGTCAACCTTGGGCTCCAGAGGGCTAAAATGAAAATATTTGGAGTAATGAGCAGGGTCATTTTATGCAGTAATCAATAATTAAGGTGATGGGTGTTTTTATATGTTTCCAGAAAAGCTTTCTTTTCATTCAAACAATTCTATACCATCTATATATATTGTATATATAAGTCTGGCTGCCTGTTGCAGGTGGTGGTAGTCTACAGATCAGTGGCGGATTGATTTTTCACTCTCTCAGCTTATTACTTAAACTTCCCGGATAATAAATTTCAATTTGACAATTAAGATCTTGAGATATGGTATGGAGATCACATGCTATCAGGCCTGCACAACTCAAAATGTAAGGCCGGCCATCATTTTCATACTTTATGAAAAACTTGTGCGGGCCGTAAGAAAATAGGACAGGGGGTGGGGAGCTAGTAAGAAAATAATAAAGAGTATTTTGTTACTTCGCGGGCCGCAAAGTGGGAACTGGCACGTCACCTTCGGCTCATGGGCCATATGTTGTGCAGGCCTGTGCTACATTATCCAAGATATTGATTCAAACTATCTTGTTTCTTTCCCAGTGAATTCAGAGTCAGAGCTTCAACAAAATGGATCTAAAAGCTGTCATTCTATCTCTTTTTATTTTTGACCTTGCTGTTATTTTATTTGCTGGCGAAGATTTTTATGCGCTTCTGGGTGTTGAAAAGGGCGCATCTGTTAAAGAAATTAGAAAAGCATTTAAACGTATGGCAATTTCGAAGCATCCTGATAAAAATACAGTAAGTGCAAATATTTTAACAGCAGTTCATTTAGACGTTTATTGTAAATTTCTAAAACCCCATTCATTCTTTAGATAATTTAGGCCAGGGGTGGCCAAGCCACATGCAGCCCACCTTTTTAAATATGGTGTCAGCACAAGCTGATTTATCACAAATAAACTTATTTGTTCTTTAATCAATGGACAAAGAAATAATTTTTAAATAGATAATTGCAAGAAAAGGTATCACATTAGTTTATTTTTATTTTTGTTCCTTACTTAGCATTTCATTACATCGGTGTGCATTAAGATTAGTTAACAATTATATACATCATTTAGTGGTGTTAATTATAATATAAGGTGTAATTATATGTAGTCCACAAATGGTTTTCCCAGTATCTACGCCTGATTTAGACAATTTAGTAACATCAATGACTCTTTTAAAAAATTGACTTCAATTTTCTTATTGCTCGAGGACTAATGCAAAAGTTTTACCAAATTATATTTATACTTATTTTATTTTAAATGTATATTTTTTAATCTATCAGGATGATCCTAAAGCACATGATAATTTCATAAAAATAAACCGGGCCTACGAGGTTCTTAAAGATGAGGATCTTCGGAAGAAGTACGATCAGTTTGGAGAGGAGGGATTAAAGGATGATTTTCAAAGAGGCAGACAGTATGAAAGCTGGCAATGGTATCAACAGAATTTTGGTAAGTTGTACATTGTTAGGATCATCATATAAGAAACAATTTTTAGAGAAACATTCAAAAACAATATATTTTCAAATAAACATTCAGTCCCGGTGAATTACTTTCATACAATATTTTTCCTGGTTCCCTAAGATATTAATAGAAGTGGAGTGTAGTTTAAAATCGGGGGCACAAGAATATTAAGCAGATTAGCTTAAATGTTTAGTATTTAGATATGGTGATGAGAAATTTTCAACACTGCTGTCTAATACAATATTAATTTTTTTTTATAACTTATGGTTTCTATCTTAAAAGCTGTCTTTGTTACCAGGTATTTATGATGACGATCCAGAAGTTATAACATTGAGCAGGGCTGACTTCGGTAAGAACATTCATAGTAAATGATAGCATCAATTTATCTTTTGAACTGATAAGTAAGAGTTTGCAAGGATGTTAGATTAGCTTCAAAGCCTTGCTTTAAAAACAAAATCTTATTGTGATTTCTTAGTGTCATTATTTTTGTATAGGATTAAACCCAAGATTAAAGAATAGATCAGTGTTTCTCAAAATTTTTAGATTACGGAGCAGTGTACAAATTCACAATGCAACAAGGACTGGTGCTAGATGTAATTAATTTTTTTTCGTCTATGTAATCTGTGATTAGACAATTTGAGCAAGCTATTAACTGTTACTATTTATTGCTGGCCGTTTTGTGTTATGTTTTTTTTTAAAAATATAATTTTAAAACTGTATACACATATTTCTTAGTCTTAATAGGGAATTTAAGACATAAATTGTTAAAGAAAAAATGATCAGGCTGTGAACGGGTGGATGTCATTTGCTATGCACAAAATAATGGTAGCTTTGAAACAAAACATTGAAATTATTTTTTCTACTTCAAATTTCTTTACTCATATTGTGCGCATGGCCTACGTAAAGCTTGCAGACTGGCACCAGTAATATCAAAACTAATAGTTAGCTGCAATTTATTTTAATTCTATCATCATTTCATTTTTCAAATAAATAATTTCCAGAACAATCTGTTGAAGGCAGTGGAGAGGCCTGGTTTATTAACTTCTATTCTCCTCATTGCTCACATTGTCATGAGCTGGCTCCCACGGCAAGTTTCACAACTTGATATATTACTTACTGCCTTAAACTTGCAAGGCGTAATACTCTTTACATTCAATTGTTAAACCTGCACTTAAAATGACATTTTTTTAATTAAAAAGTAAAAAGATTTGAAAATAGAATTGATCAGATTTAACTTTAACCAAAGTTGGACTCTTCCATTGATCATGGCTTGCCCCTTCCCCACAGTGGCGTGAAGTGGCCAGGGAGTTGGAAGGTGTCATACGAATTGGAGCTGTCAACTGTGAAGATGATTATCAGCTGTGCCGTGTGCAAAGAGTCCATTCCTATCCATCTCTTTACTTCTACCCTGAGGTATATGAACATGTTCAAATTATTTATTTTTATCAACAGGGGAGCTTTGAAATTATTTTCTCCCTGTCTATTGTTTAATGTTGGACAGGGCTTAAAGGCCTTATCCTACAAAACAATGCTAGTTATGAAACGTGCTAGGACAGGGTTTAAAGGCCTTATCTTACTAAACAATGTTAGTTTCAAAACGTTGAGATACCACTGCTTTTTCTTAAGATCTGGTTTAAAAAAATCATTTCTACACTAATAAAAACTTTATGGCCCAAGTTCAAATCAATATTTAATCATTTGAATTCAGACAGCTAAAATGTTCTTGTGATATGTTCATACCAGTTAACCAGTCTTTAATATTCTCATTATACCTGTGTCATTTATTTAGCTTATAAAAAAATATCCTGAATTGTTCAGTATGAGATTTGTATTGCCCTGCACTGCGCAGGTGATATTGTTTAGATTTGATGTGTCATTATCCAACACTTGAAAACTAAGTAGGATGCCACCTGTCTTCAATTGAGGCAGGACATTTTTATTAGTATTAGTAGTCTTTAGTAAATATTAGTTGTTCATTTTTAAACTCACAAAATATTTTTAGCCTGATCAAGCCACCATCAGTGCATTTCATATAAAAAAAAATTTTTAAGCAAACTTTTTGACCAGAGCATCAATTGCTGGTAAATTATGTTAATTGGGAATGTGCATTTACACTCAATAAATATGACCGTTTCATAAGACATTTCAATTATTTCACATTACAAAATGATTAAAATTTAATGAATAAATATTTAAAAAGAATGGTACGGTAGGTCAAATGTTGATCCACATCTCTGTTTGGAAATGATATTGTGAGCTTAAATAAGTGATTTTGTCCTAGACATTTTTGGTGCTACATTCAGTTTGAAATGTCATCTAGCTGCATGACACCATTTTACAAAATGTCACTGGTTCAAACACACTGTCAGTCTTGTTTTGTGTCATATCTATTTATATACAAGATGTATTGATTTTGTTTTTGGGTTGTGGTTTTTTTCAGAGGGAGAAGTACCAAGGACAGCGCACTACAAGTATACTGGTTGAGGAAGCACTGCGCAGGGTCAAGGCAGACTACTTTAGAATACAAGCCAAAAATTTCCAGTCCATGGTCACAAATATTGAAAATGGCTTGCCTTGGCTCCTTACGTTCTGTGGTGATGAAGGGGGTGAGCTGATATATTATTTGTAGTTCTGTATTGCTGGAGTATAAAAGACAGAGCTCCAAACATTTGTAGGGGGGGGGGGGGGGGTGTGTGTTTTGTAGCATGCCTGAAAAAATATTATTTTTAGATTTAATTCATGTTTGACAGTCTATAAGAAATTATATTTAAGTAACATGTTGAGAAAATCAATAACAACTGTCTGGTTTTTTTAATAGAGGAGTAACCGATGTATAGATTATTTGATGCTATTCAGCAGCAGTTTTCAACCTTTATATTTCTTAAATCTTAGGACACACTAAACCTAATTGTTAAAAGACACATTAATTTAGCATTTTTAAAAGCTTTAGCCGTCTTTGTGAGGAACTTAGTCCAAAAACTAGTATTTTGTAAAATTACATATGCTAAGAATAAAGTGATTATTTTATATAGGTTCCATCTCATTTTCTTAGTTAGTAAGGAAAATACCCAAGAATTCTCTTTTTTTTTTTTCATTGATTTTATTCCTTTAAATCAAAATCTTTCAAGCCACATGTGTGCCATGACGCACCATTTGAAAATCTGCTGATATACAGGTGTACTTTTATTCTAAAATCTGATGGGTTTTTGCTCACCTTCTATATTTAGATTGCCTGGAAAAGAAAACTTTGGTGAAGATTTCAGCCATGCTGGTAAGCATTTTATTTATACTAATCACCAATACATGTCTTGAAGTATGGGTTATATGGCACTTAAGTTCTACTGTTATGTTGTTCTAATTGAGCTGAATGGTGTGCAATTCACCCCTCTCTCCACTAAAATAAAACCCTTCTCCCATTTCTATTTTTTAAATTAAAATGTTCAAATTAAAATTTTTGTTGAATGGCAGATTCTTTAAAATATTTTTTGTTATTAACATCTGATGTGCAGGCTGACCTAGTTAATGTTGGAAAAATCAGCTGCCATGCAAATGAACAACTGTGCGTAAAACTGGGTCAAACTCATGGCACATTTTACTATGGGAATGAGAAGGTTGACAAGGAGAGTGCAATGGTAATGTACATTTCAAATGTTTGTCAGTGACATTGTATCATCTTAAAACTGATGACTTCTGTATTGTAAGATGGTTGACAAGAACAGAGCAGTGGTAATATACATTTCATATGGTAGTCAATGACATTATGTCATATTAAAACTGATGACTTCTGTATTGTAAGATGGTTGACAAGGACAGAGCAGTGGTAATATACATTTCATATGGTAGTCAATGACATTATGTCATCTTAAAACAGATGACTTCCATATTGTAAGACGGTTGACAAGGACAGAGCAGTGGTAATATACATTTCATAGGGTAGTCAATGACATTATGTCATCTTAAAACTGATGACCTGCATATTTTAGGGGTCCAGTATTAACTTAAGATTAAACATTGTTTTTGTGTGAAGATATTACAATCTCCCTAGTTCTGAATGGTGTCAGTCGTAAATTGTCTTCACCTTCCAAATAAATTTTTTTTTTTAAATGTTCAAAATTTTATTTTTAAAAAAAACAATGATGGATTTTTATGGTTGTTTATGATTTCATTATTTTTAATGTTTTTATGATTTCATTATTTTTAATGTTAATAACAAAATTTGGTTCATTTTATGAAATACAATTTTTATTTTACCTTTGGGCAGGAAATTGATAGCCTTTATGCCAAGGACATTGCAAGGACAGTCTTGCAGCAACTGCCAGATGTTGAGCTGATTGGCCAAGATAATTTGGAGGTGAAAGTCTTTATAAAACAGATTTTAAATGTATCCATTGGTTTTAAAGCTGTCACAATATTCTACAGTTAAGTTAAAAGGGTTTAAAAATTATGTTTTTCTATTGTCTTAATTTTATATTTAGTTTTATTTGTACCCAAGAACTAAAACTGTTCAAACAACTTAAACTAATATCTAATTCTGCATCATGCGATAGCTATTTCACTTGAAGCATGCATATTTTTATTTTGTAACCACTGGAGCTTTATGATCAAATATTTAACCATTAGTTGTTTTTTTAACCACCCTTTGTTTTGTTTTTCATAGAAAATCAAGGAGTCCCGTGTGCAAACATGGCTGATACATTTTGTTGACCAGGCAGACAACCAGGACCTGGAGCTCAGGAAACTGCCTGCACTGCTGAAGAGATACAGGGTAAATAACTAGGTCACAGTTTATTTTTAGATGCATTAAACAATTATGTTTTTTCTCTCAACTTTAAGGAAACATTTCAAGTCTTCAGATAGAAAACTGTTATCGTATAGTTATAGAATTGTCTTTAAATCAACTTGGCATAACTTTTTTTCAAATGACCCACTGAATAATATTTTATTTTGGAGACCCAATGCCATCTTGTAAATAAAACAATGGGTCGAATGGGGTCAATCTTGTTAACCCAAAAAGTTGGAGAGGGGATGACGGACCCCCCTCCCACCAAAAGAAATTGCAAACCACTTGATTAACATTTCATTTCTCTAAAGATAGTAGATTTTATTGCTTTAAAAAAATAAGTCATTTGTCACCTTAAATCTATTAAGAGAATTTCAAAATCTATGACAAACGTAGGTTGGACGAGCTGACTGCTCCACCATTCGCTGGGCCTGCCAAAAGTTGCACATTAACAAGTTTCCAACATTCATGTTGTTCAAAGCAAAAGGAGGGACAGAACTCTACTATGGAGGTATGTATGCTGAAGAGTGATGCCTTGTGCTATGTACTTAGCATTGTTGATTAATTTGGTGTTTTTTTAAACAAACCTAAAAATTAAATGGGACCGTATTAGAAAAAATTTAATTGGGACTCTGTTATTTCCCTTTGCAAAAAAAAACAACAAAAAAAACAACTATCTATAAGCACATCTATGTCGCTGAAGATTTATTTTAAATTGTCCTGAACAAGGCAAATGTTGTGTATATTTAATATAAAACTTTGCATTAGAGACCGACCAAATTTCGGCTTCGGCTTCGGTTTCGGCGCCGAAAGTGGCCATTTTATCACTTTCGGCCAAGTTTCGGTTTCGGCCGAAACTGAAAAGTTAACTTTCGGCTTAATTTCGGTTTCGGCCGAAAGAGAAAAGTTAACTTTCGGTTTTTCAAGCCAAAGCCGGCTTACTGAAAAGTTAACTTTCGGCTTAATTTCGGTTTCGGCCGAAAGAGAAAAGTTAACTTTCGGTTTTTCTTCGGTTTCGGCCGAAATTGACTTAGACTTTCGGCCATCCGGCCGAAAGTGACTCAGGTTTTCGGTCACAAACTTAGGGACATTTAAGAACAAATTAAGCGATCTTTGAAAACAAACTAAACGATATTTAACAACAAACTAAGGGACATTTAAGAACAAACTAAACGATCTTTAAAACAAACTAAGCGATCTTTAAGAACAAACTAATCGATCTTAAGGAACAAAATCAATTATCTTTAAGAACAAACTAAGCGATCTTTATGAAAAAACTAAGCGATCTTTAAACAAACTAAGCGATCTTTAAGAACAAACTAACCGATCCTTGACTACAAACTTAGCGATCTTTAACAACAAACTAAACGATCTTTAACAATAAACTAAACGATCTTTAACAACAAACTAAACGATCTTTAACAACACACTAAACGATCTTTACAACAATAAACTAAACGATCTTTACAAAAACAAACTAAACGATCTTTAACAACAAACTAAACGATCTCTAACAACAAACTAAACGATCTTTATAAAAACAAACTTAGCGATCTTTAAGAACAAATGAAACGATCATTAACAAAACTGGACATCTTTAAGAACAAACTAAGCGATCTTTAACAACAAACCAGGCGATCTTTATGAACAAACTAATCAATCTTTAACAACAAACCAGGCGATCTTTATGAACAAACTAAACGATCTTTAACAACAAATAAAACGATCATTAACAAAAACTGGAGAATCTTTAAGAACAAACTAAGCGATCTTTAAGAACAAGCTAACCGATCTTTGACAACAAATTAAGCGATCTTTAACAACAAACTAAACGATCTTTAACAATAAACTAAATGATCTTTAACAACAAACTAAGCGATCTATAACAACAAACTAAACGATCTTTAACAACAAACTAAACGATCTTTAACAACAAACTAAACTATCTTTAACAACAAACTAAACGATCTTTAACAACAAACTAAATGATCTTTAACAATAAACTAAATGATCTTTAACAATAAACTAAACGATCTTTAACAACAAACTAAACGATCTTTAAAAACAAACTAAGTGATCTTTATAAACAAACTCACCGATCTTTAACAACAAACTAAACGATCAATAACAACCAACTAAACGATCTTTAAAAACAAATTAAGCGATCTTTTAGAACCACATTTTTTTAGAGACCCTGTTTAAAAAAATAATATTTTGCATTAATTCCCCCCCCCCCCCCAAGTTTTGCTTAATTTTCTTCTACCGTACTAATTTTTTTTTTAAAAATGTAAAGCAATTTAAATTACTTTTATAATAAAATGGTAAAATCCAAAGTATTCATTAGACCAAGGATCTCAATTTCAAATCGTCGGAAAGGGGGGGGGCAGGAGGTAGTGTCTGAATGAGAGTGGGCCGCATCAAGTTATCCACAAAAAAGCGATTACAATTGTTACAATCTGCTCAACCTTTATAAATAACAATAAAATCATTAAGGGTTCTCAAGAACTACTCACTGTTGCCAGAGACCTGGCATACAAAAATATGTAGAAATATTTTTTTTTTAAAAGTCAGAATTAGACTAGTCGGTGATATTCGACTGAAACCGTCGCGGAGAGTCACGTTATAGATATGAGAATGGGGGAAACGGGCCGGCGCATTTACACTAAACTTTTCTGCGGGCCGCAAAATATAGTCTTGCGGGTCACATATGGCTCGCGGGCCGCGAGTTTGAGACCCCTATATTAGATGTTTATTTATTAATATTTACGATTATCTAATTTTTGTTATAAAAGAATGTAAATATTTATACTTTCCCACATCATTTTCGATGTATGCAGAATGTATGCGGGAACGAATTTCAAAATATCTTAATATTTCATTTTCGGTTTCGGCCGAAATTCATTTTTAATCTTCGGCCTTTTTTCGGTTTCGGCCGAAAGTCATTTTTAAAATTTCGGCCTTTTTCCGGTTTCGGCCGTAAGTCATTTTAAACTTTCGGCCTATTTTCGGCTTCGGCCGAAATCAGAAAATCACTTTCGGTCGGTCTCTACTTTGCATAATTTGACTTCTTATGGGTATATACTTTTTTATTCTGTTTAAATTCTGATTTTAAGATAGATCATAAAAGCATGTCTTTTGTCTGAAGATGTGTTCTTTACAAGCATGTATTGTCAAAAGGTTTGGTCACAACTTGTCTTTTTGTTCAAACTGTTCCCAACAAAGTATTTCCATTAGCTTAAAAAATAGCTTCCCGAGAGCCTGTTATCATTTGGCTTGCTTAAAATTACTGACCAGCTTTGATAACTGAAGAGTTATAACCCCTGCAGACAAACACTGCTGACAATAGACACTGTTATTTCCCTAGGCAGAATAACAGCTCATGACATCGCAGCCTTTGTACGTGACAGTGCAGAGACTCCCATGGAGAACCTCAGCCCTGAAGATTTCCCCGAGAGAGTCATGAACGGAAAGGACCCTTGGTTTGTTGACTTCTTCGCACCGGTATGTTCCACAAGACGGCCCACAAGACATTGATTTATTGGACTAGGAATGGTTGAGGCAATATTTTTTATCTTTGAAACCAATAAAATGGACACACAATGACACAAGGTCATTAATCTGAGAGAAGGAATATTTTATGCCGGGTAAAGTAATGACGGAATGAGAGAGCAATGACGGAATCAGACCTGTTTACTTTTACGATTTTGGCGTACAATGTACGATTTTGAGATGTATACATTATATATAATGTATGTTTATTTTTTTTACTATTAAGATAATGTATTGAACAATTTTTTGATGTTATTGTAAGATTTTAAGAGTTTGGGGGTAAACATGTCTGCGGAGTGAGAGAGTAATGACATAAAAAATCTATCTTTATTTTGATTTTGAATCCTTCCAGTGGTGCCCTCCCTGCATGCGTTTACTGCCAGAGTTCAAGAAAGCATCTAAAGTTTACAGGTCAAAGGTCAATTTTGGCACAGTGGATTGTACTGTTCATCAAGGATTATGTAACACAGTGAGTTTGGGATTGTAAATATTTTATATTTATATTTTTTACGTCAGACAAGGCAGTCATTTAGCTTTGTAAAGTTAATGATGAAAATTATTTTTAAAAACCCAGGACGCTAAACCCCTAGTTACGCCATTACGCACGCCCCTGAACCATGTGATAATTCCAAACTAATGCTCAGCCCTTGCTGTGTCAAGTAATGATCTGTTGTTTCTTAAAATTGCACAATTGGTTATTCCACATATTAAAAGAATATGATTGCATTAAACAGCTAATCTTTTGATTTAAAAAGTTATATATAATGAAGCTTTATTTAAAAATGCATGGTCCAAACATAAATTACCAATGGCGTACCTTGAGTAAATCTCACCTGGGGCGAATTCCCAAAATTGCACCCTACACACATCTTACAAATGTATTTTTTTAATGTATCTTTAAAAGCGCACAAAAAATGGTTTATTAAAAATGCGTACACCAAAAATAACTTATCTTTAACGACCCAGATTTTTTTTTTATGGAGGGGCAGTCATTTGAGAACATATCTCTGTCCTCTTTACTCTAAACATTTTACTATTTTTTAATGATAACTTTTTGAATAAAGGGTTTTTGGCCAAACTTTCCCGGACCTAGGTATTGGTCAAGAGTTATGACCATGTCCAATAAGGTTGTGATCCACTGTTTGGGTCTCTTGGTATAAAGTAGCCAACTAAAATACATATAAACAAACATAGTGTGACTGAGCTTTATATAGCAGATAATTTCCTCAACTTTAAATGATCTTTAGTTTCAAACAGAATTCTTGGACAGAATAACCCAACCCCCACCCCTCCTCAGCCCCACCTCCTGGAGGACCAGGGTACATGACATAACTGCTAAACATGTTTCATTCTTTTGGTTTCAGTACAACATCCGCTCTTATCCAACAACCATCCTGTACAACCAGAGCATACCCCATCAATACCACGGTCAGCACAGTGTCAACCATCTGGTGGAGTTCATTGAGGTAATGTTCCCAATGTTGGTCGTGGCTTTCTCGACTTGTTTCAATTGTAACTAGGAGTAACTGGCTGTTGTCTTCATGGCTGGTTCTTGAAAGCTCAGGAAAACTGTCTCGAAGATGACAGGAAAAGATTTTACAAATGAAAATTGTTGCAATAAGATAGATAGAAGACACCTACGAACAAAAAGTTTACATAGTGATCATTCAGCAATGTTGAATGTAAAAAATATCCAAAAGCGTAATTATTTCTATTTTGTTTCCATCTTATCTGGCTGGCAGTCATCATTTGTTCAAAATCTTTATAGTTTATTTTATGAGGTTATCATTATTTACTAGGTTTCTTTTCTTCCTGTGGGGCAAGGCAATAACATTGTTTGCCTCTCAGGCAAAGACAGTAAATTAGCATCTGTCCACAGATAGGGATAAATGCCCAAACGGAAGGGACATGAGTTACCATGTAAAGCAGCTTGCAGACAATGTTAACTCTGAGTGAATAACTGAAACCACCAAAGTCAAAAGACAGCAAACGTTTATGTTGTCTTTGAAAATGTAGCTCGACCAGTTAAGTTACAGCTGCTGGACCAGTTAATTAAGTTACAGCTGCTGGACCAGTGAAGTTACAGCTGCTGGACCAGTTAATTAAGTTACAGCTGCTGGACCAGTTAAGTTACAGCTGGATTAAATCAAGTAGGGTTAGAGTTATATAAGCAAAACAACAACAACCTAGGTTGTTCTTTAATTATCTCCCTTAGGACACCATCAAGCCACCGGTTATCTCCCTGGACCAGCAGCTGTTTGAGAGAGACGTTTTGCACAAACAGCACGACCACATCTGGCTGGTGGACTTCTTTGCCCCGTGGTGTGGACCTTGCCAGCAGTTGTCCCCAGAGTGGAGGAGGCTCGCCAAGGTAAGAGTCAAATGACTGAGATAACTGGAGATCGCCTTTTTTCCCCTCTCATGAAGAATCTCCAGGGAGATATTGAAAGAAATGCTCCCTTTAGGTCTTTAATGTGGACACAAAAATTCAGAGACATCACAATCATAAGAATTAATGTTGAAATAAATATAATAATGGGTTCTGTAATTCTTCCAATTGTCAAAAATAAATAGTTGTAAAAATATATATATATATATATATACCATTATATTATATATAATTATTTTGTAGATATTTTTCTTGAGAGTTTCGCAATTTTTAAAAAGTAATTTAAATTAAACCTTGCATTATTAAGATAATGTATTACTGTAGTATATTCCTCTGCAAACATTTTTTTTGAGTGGAGAGCAACTTTAAAAATTAATTCTGCTGAGAAAATATTTAGGGAGATGCAAGCAATTATACCTATAAGCATTGTAGAGCGAATGTACCCATAAGCAGTGATGGGCTGGGACAGTGAATGTACCCATAAGCAGTGATGGGCTGGGACAGTGAATGTGCCCATAAGCAGTGATGAGCTGGGACAGTGAATGTGCCCACAACACTTGAAGTCATAATTTGCTTATGATACTTAAAAGTTAGAATTCTCTTTAAAGCAAATAATTAAATCAAGTTGATCGTTTTTTTAAAGGAAATTATAATAATGAAAAGAGCTGCATGTATTCATCAAGGCTTAGATGGCCAACCGCTTCCATGGTATATATTTTTAATATAGTAATTTTAACTAAATTTGTGTAAAAGTTCCTTGGTTTTGATTATTTTATTGTGCCCAACTTTACTCAAACCCAAATCCACAACCAAACTCGCTAGGATAATACAGACCTGTTTAACCTCAAACTCTTAAAATCGTACAATATCATGACTAATTCTTTATATACATTATATTAATAGTAAAAAAATATATATAAAAAACATAAAGTATATATAAAGTATAAACCTCAAAATCGTACATTGTACGCCAAAATCGTAAGAGTAAACAGGTCTTATAATATATTTTATTGGAAAAATATCTATTGATTTTTTTTTTTTAAAAAAAGCTATTTTTTGGTCATTTAAAAATTATGCTCAGTAATTTTCTGTCATCTTCATAATTTTAATTTTTTGTTTTGCTGTGCACATATCAATTTATGTCCCCCCCCAAATATCTTTTGGGCAGATGTTTGCTGAGAAGAACAACATTCATGTGGCTCAGGTCAACTGTGATCAGCACAGAGACTTATGCCGCAGTCAGAGTGTTACCTCATATCCAACCATTCGAATGTATCCCATCGGTCCTGCAAGGGTGGGTCATCACCAGTAAGTGACCTTGTCATGTCCAGTCGTTATTTTATAGGTCACTACCAGTAAGTGAAAGTAACTTTCATTGATGGTCTTGGAAGACCGGATATTAATAAATGTGTGTTGACAAATGGAAGTAATTCATTCTTTTTTAAAAATATGAAATTGAAAGTATTGCAAGGTGCAAAGCAAAGCCATCTCCCTAAAGTAAGCATCTCCCTAAATATTTTCTGTATATTTTGTCATATCATTAACTATTTTGTAAAGAGAAACCCTTAAAAGTGGCAACATTCTCAGTTGGGCTGGGAATTCACATATGAACTTGGCTTGAAATGACTGAGAGCAAACAAGAGGCACTAGGACAGATTGACTGCTAACTCCCACTTGGACTAAAGATGCTGGAACGGTTATAAATATCACTGTAACTTGTTTTAATTATTCCCCTGCCTGGACAAGTGATAAATTTACAAAACAGCACCTCTTAGCAAACAAACATAAATTATAAACTACTGTGTATATAGTATAACGCAATCTACATATATATTCATAATACAATATGAATGTAGAGTTTAATAAAAATATCAAAATCCTTTAAACTATTATAATATTTTAAACAAATTGTGGTTATCATGATACAACTTTGATAATATCAAATCACAGGGGGCACTACTTACATTACTGGTGTTATGCACAGGTATGATGCACGCTCGGTCGCCAACTGGGACTAGACCAAGAAGATTAGGTTTCATACATATTAGTATATATATCTTTTACCAGAAAGGACTTTTTTTTTACATGCGCATTTAATGGGAGCCCCTAGGTTTACATAGCATTTTTTACCCTTAATTTCTGTAATTATATGTGGTAATATACTGTGGGTATTTCAAGTGGTAATATACTGTGGGTATTTCAAGGGGTAATATGCTTGGGTATTTCAAGTGGTAATATACTGTGGGTATTTCAAATGGTAATATACTGTGGGTATTTCAAATGGTAATATACTGTGGGTATTTCAAGTGGTAATATACTGTGGATATTTCAAGTGGTAATATACTGTGGGTATTTCAAATGGTAATATACTGTGGGTATTTCAAATGGTAATATACTGTGGGTATTTCAAGGGGTAATATGCTTGGGTATTTCAAGTGGTAATATACTGTGGGTATTTCAAATGGTAATATACTGTGGGTATTTCAAATGGTAATATACTGTGGGTATTTCAAATGGTAATATACTGTGGGTATTTCAAATGGTAATATACTGTGGGTATTTCAAATGGTAATATACTGTGGGTATTTCAAATGGTAATATACTGTGGGTATTTCAAATGGTAATATACTGTGGGTATTTCAAATGGTAATATACTGTGGGTATTTCAAATGGTAATATACTGTGGGTATTTCAAGGGGTAATATGCTTGGGTATTTCAAGTGGTAATATGCTTGGATATTTAAGTGGTAATATACTGTTGGTATTTCAAGTGGTAATATACTGTGGGTATTTCAAGTGGTAATATACTGTTGGTATTTCAAGTAGTAATATAATGTGAGTATTTCAAGTGGTAATATGCTTGGGTATTTCAAGTGGTAATATGCTTGGATATTTAAGTGGTAATATACTGTTGGTATTTCAAGTGGTAATATACTGTGGGTATTTCAAGTGGTAATATACTGTTGGTATTTCAAGTGCTAATATACTGTGGGTATTTCAATTGGTAATATACTGTGGGTATTTCAAGTGGTAATGTACTGTGGGTATATCAAGTGGTAATACACTGTGGGTATTTCATAATGTCATAAAACTTTGAGTAGGGTCATTAAGCTTAAGTAGTATTTTTATTTGCATCTAAAGTATGTTTGAGCAGATAGTTTAGACTGGGTCTGCCAGCCATACACTGACACTAACATGCCTGTTAATAAGTTTCTCATGTTTGTTATAGTGATCACAAAGGCTGGAACAGGGATGCATCATCTCTATCAGCTTGGGTCTACAACTTCCTGCCCAGCAAGGTTGTCACATTGACCAGAGAATCTTTCAGGAAGGCCGTCTTACAAAGCCGGGAGCCATGGGTCATTGACTTCTACGCCTCTTGGTGCGGGCATTGCCAGGTTTTCAAGCCTCAGTTTGAACAAGTTGCAGAGGTGAGCTAAGCTGGGCACTCAACAATTCGTAGCAAAATTACTTTATTTTACACTCAGTTTTTGTCCATTCAATCCATAACTTGGATATTGTCATTGATATTGATTGTTGCAAGCCTAGAACACCCCTAAAAGATAGGGAACAGATTGCTTTGACTAGAGGTGCAAGCCTAGAACAACCCTAAAGATAGGGAACAGATTGCTTTGACTAGAGGTGCAAGCCTAGAACACCCCTAAAAGATAGGAAACAGATTGCTTTGACTAGAGGTGCAAGCCTAGAACACCCCTAAAAGATAGGGAACAGATTGCTTTGACTAGAGGTGCAAGCCTAGAACACCCCTAAAAGATAGGGAACAGATTGCTTTGACTAAAGGTGCAAGCCTAGAACACCCCTAAAAGATAGGGAACAGATTGCTTTGACTAGAGGTGCAATCCTAGAACACCCCTAAAAGATAGGGGACAGATTGCTTTGACTAGAGGTGCAAGCCTAGAACACCCCTAAAAGATAGGGAACAGATTGCTTTGACTAGTTAAAATACTGAGATCATAAGAAGTAAAGGAATAAGATGTGGATCTTCAAAGAGGTTCATTATGATTCCATGTTGTCATAGTCGACCCGCTCATGCATACATAGCATTTATGTGAAGTATTATTACCTTTAAAAAATTATGTCCGTTGCCTTAAATTGCACAATTTAGATTTAACTAATCAAAACTCATAATTCTCTACCAACTTAAAACAAGCGTATGCCTTCCAATGGATTAGGCATGGCAACTGTTTATTCAAATTGAAATGATCCTCCAAATGTTGTATCTCTCAGCGTTAGGAATTATTGGAATAATGTGTTCATTTCTCACACCTTTGCAATATTGTGCGAGATAAACAATGTCCTATCTCAAAATACTTCCAGGGATCCAGGGACTTGTCCAGTACTGCACTTGTTTTCTGTACCAATGCGCCCGTCAGGGTGAGCGTAGAATTTAGAGAACTAATTGATCCACACCCCTGGGACCTTGACACCACATGGCACGAATATCATGTTCTCTCCCTCACTTGTTAAATCTTTTCTCTACGCCCCCCCCCCCCATTACAACCAATTGCTATGGATTTAATTTTCCTCTCTTCCATCCCCACTTTGTCTGTACTCTCTGTTACCTACTAATGGTCTACCCCTGGGACCTTGCCACCACATGGCACGAATATCATGTCCCCCCCCCCCCTTGTTAATTCTTTTCTCTCCCCCCCCCCCCCCATTACAACCAATTGCTATGGATTTAATTTTCCTCTCTTCCATCCCCACTTTGTCTGTACTCTCTGTTACCTACTAATGGTCTACTATATTAACTCTGTTACCTACTAATGGTCTACTATATTAACTCTGTTACCTACTAATGGTCTACTATATTAACTCTGTTACCTACTAATGGTCTACTACAGGCCTGCACAACTTTGTGGCCCAGAAGTAACGAAACATTCTTTATTCTTATTATTTTCTTAATAGCTTTCGCCGCCTCTCCTATTTACTTTTGGCCCTCACAAGCGCTGTCCTATTTTCTTTTGGCCCGCACAAGTTTTTCATAAAGTTTTACGGTCGGCCTGACATTTTGAGTTGTGCAGGCCTGGTCTACTGCATGCCTCTTGCTGTCCTCTGGGGTACACCAGTCCAGCCAAGTGTTCATCTTAATGGGTTTCAATGTCTTCCTCCTCTGTGTTTGCTGAAGAAGGATTCTAGCAGAAAGTTCATTGTATTCTTGCCTCTTTTTTCTCTCCAGGTTTTCCCATACCTTAGTTCACATAATTCCACCTACCTAAACCTGGCTGCAGCCCCACCCATCCACACTTCTTATTATACATTTATCACAGCATCATCCAGCTATCCCTCCCTGTAGCAACAAAAGCCCATGTATGGCTTTCGCCTACCTCAACACTTCCTTACACTCTTTTCCATGCTTGGATTCCCAGCTGCTGTAGATATTTTTCCACATAATCCATCACTCTAAGCCTAGGTCTGCCTTTGACCTGTTTTGCTCTGGGGTTTTGGTGATGTACCCTCTTCACTCCTCTGTCATTTTGGCATTCTTTCTAAGTGTCCTGTCCAGCGTAGCCTACCCTTTTTTATTTCGGCTACTAGCGTGGGATCCTGATACTGACCGTACAATTCCTGATTGGTTCGTATTCTCCATCCATATTCATCCTTTGTTATCACTGCATCACCTGATGCATTTTCAATTATTTTTTTTTCCACAGCAATTAGATGGCATAGCAAAAGCTGGGAAAGTGGATTGTGAAAGTGAAGGTGATATCTGTCACCTGGCTGGAATCAATTCTTACCCCACCGTCAGGTTTTATAAAGGAGTAATGGGACCTAATGAACATCAGGTTAGGTAACTATAGATGTCAGGTTTTATAAAGGAGTAATGGGACCTAATGAACATCAGGTTAGGTAACTATAGATGTCAGGTTTTATAAAGGAGTAATGGGACATAATGAACATCAGGTTAGGTAACTATAGATGTCAGGTTTTATAAAGGAGTAATGGGACATAATAAACATCAGGTTAGTTAACTATAGATGTCAGGTTTTATAAAGGAGTAATGGGACATAATGAACATCAGGTTAGGTAACTCTAGACATGGGGGGGGGGGGGGGGTGTGTGTGTAAACCATCTATGCATTTTCAGTAACCTTTTAAGTTGTCAATGCAAGTCACAAATAAAAATGGAAGTTTAAAGACCAGTGTGAGTTGAAATAATTGTCACATGTAAATATATGGCACCACATAATTATCACATGTAAATACATGGCACTACATAATTGTCACATATAAATATATAGCACCACATAATCGTCACATATAAATATATGGCAACACAGCTTTTTATTATTTTAGGAAAGTAAATGTTCATTTAATTCAATTTCATTATCAAATAAAACATTTAGTGGTTGCCTTTAGATATCTATATGTTCAATGGATTCCTATGGATATCTATTTGTTCAATGGATTCCTAGAGATATCTATATGTTCAATGGATTCCTATAGATATCTATTTGTTCAATGGATTCCTATAGATATCTATATGTTCAATGGATTCCTATAGATATCTATATGTTCAATGGATTCCTATAGATATCTATATGTTCAATAGATTCCTACAGATATATATGTTCAATGGTTTACCTATAGATATCTATATGTTCTATTTATACTCAAAAGACATAAACCAGTTAAACTTTGAGCCTTGTTTCATAAGTTTGTAACAATGCTCTTACATTAACTGGACTTGATAGCAGATAACAGTAGCCTTATCTTTGGTTGACTTGGCACAGAGTAAACACTGATTTCTTGACAAACTAAGCCTTTTACATGACTGGCTGTTGCTATGTTCACAGAGCTCCTATGGATGGACCATTGACAGCCAAAGTGCTGACTACATTGTTAAATATGTCAAAAATAATGTCCCCAAAACTAATAAGGTACGTTAAAGTCTGTTACTCTTCTGATCTCACTTTTCTGATCTCACCGTCCGTCTTCTGATCTCACTGTCAGTGTTTGGATCCTGCACTTCCTCTTATTTGCTCTTAGCTGGAATTCCCTCCTGAATCTCTTTCAGGGATGGATGTTTTGTTTTTTAAATCAAACTTTTTATGTCGAGTCGTTGAAGCCAATCTGGGGACAGTTTTAGTTTTATGGATGTTTGAAATAAACTATTTCAACTGAAGAACTCCATCAACTGTTTTGGTTTTTTTTTTTCTTCGCTTATTGAGTTTCAGTTTGTACAGAGGTTCTAACTTTGAATAGATGTTGTCAGATTGTACATCCCATGAAGGCCATAACCCACGAACTGCCAATTGTATGTTTCTGTACTGTGCAAGCAATTTAGACCTTTTTGGGTGCCTTTGAAAAATCACATGCAAATACTATAGCTAGGCCCCATAAAGTATGTGTTTATTGAAATTATACTGAGTGGGGAATCATACTGGCTATTTTTTAATGATCTATTATACTCGTTTACAGTGACCTTAACCTTCGAGTAGCCAAGAATAAAGAAAATAATGAACATTTTTCTTTTCAAGCACCTCTAACTACATTTTTTTAAAGGCATATTATTATAATTTTTATATAGTATGATAGCATTTTTATGTATCTTTCAGAAAATGTATTATTTGTATAAGTTTTAGTTACTAATAGATTTTTTTTTTTTCATTTCTTCTGATACCTATAATAACGTTCAGGTAACCAAGCAGGATATAAACAATATAAACATTACTAAATAGCAAGAAACAGATCAAATGTAAAAAGCTGCTATAAAAATATTTAATCCATAAAATGAAATATAAGAAAACATATAGAACAACATCCAATTATTTTTTGTTGGTACAAAATCATCTGCTTCATAGTTTTGAACGAGTCCTGTTGTTGGGGCAACGACCTACTCGTACTCGTTCTAGGCCTAGGTCTAAATCGTCTGAACTTTCGCTTTCTGACCCACTAGAAAACTAATCGGAGTTATCATTATCTTTGTGTGTGATCAGAAAATCATCTTCCGAATCACTCAAGTCATTAACTAAAAAGAATTATCAAAAAGATTCTGAACTCATTTATTTTGTAAGCCAGATGGTCCAGCTGTGGCCTCAGCCACTTCGCGAAAATCTACTTACACAAATTTGCTTGATAAAGATTGTTGAAAAAAATAACTTCAAAGTTTTAAAATTAAGGACACAGAAGAGCAAAAAAACGGAAGTTTATTTATTAATAAAAGGAATTAGCTTTATTTGGTGTAAATATTGGACTGCAAATTATTCTTTCAACGCAATTTTTATCTACCGACACAGTTTGGGAAGAGAAAATCGGGAGACTTTATTGGGCTGAGTTCATGGGTTAAGAATGTTGCACCACTATTCAGAGTATTCAGTTCAACTGATGTGTCGTACCTCTTCTGCTTGTTCTGACTGTACTGTACTGCAATAACCTTCTATGAAATATTAACTTGTTTCTTAGTATATTTTTTAACTTTTTGCCTTTTCTTTCTGATTCTCAGGTAAAAGATGAGTTATGATTTTCAGCTAGTCGGCCTAGAACCCCGAAAACTTGCCTTACACTCTACTCATCCAACATTTCACTTGACCATTTCCATCATCATGCTACACTGCTGCGTTTGTGGACATCATTTGGTCCAGGTAACACCATCGCCGACCATCTACATTTTACTTCTGGCTTACATTTACCTTTGTTGATAGATCTCCTCTTTTGGAAGAATTTGGCCAGTTGCTGTAAATAATCGTCAAGTTTATTTATAGTAGTAGTAGTAGTAGAAGGGCTGGGGGGGGCTTTTTTTTTTTTCTTCAAAATTTTCCAAATGTTTTATTGACTTAATGATTTTACAGAATGTTTTGTTATCCGCATATATAAGTTATTTATATACACATGAACGTGTTAAAACGTATTACTGTTGCTATGATCAAGCAGAAAATCTGCTGTGTGGTGATGTGCTCCCCTCACCTCTTCTAACATATGGTTTTAAGAGTATTATGTTATATGGCCTTCCTTTGGACAGATGTCGAACCATGTGACAACATTTCTGACAAGCATGCACATGTTTTATACACTTGTGTCAAGCCATGTGCTCCACTACACTTCAAATTGACACATGTTTTATAAACATGTGTCAAGCTAAGTTCTCTATGGTTTATACACAAGTGTGGAGGTATGTGCGCCACCACACACCAGATTTATCTGCTTGGTTCATACACAAATGTGGAGGTATGTGCGCCACCACACACCAGATTTATCTGCTTGGTTCATACACAAATGTGGAGGTATGTGCTCCACCACACACCAGATTTATCTGCTTGGTTCATACACAAATGTGGAGGTATGTGCTCCACCACACACCAGATTTATCTGCTTGGTTCATACACAAATGTGGAGGTATGTGCTCCACCACACACCAGATTTATCTGCTTGGTTCATACACAAATGTGGAGGTATGTGCTCCACCACACACCAGATTTATCTGCTTGGTTCATACACAAATGTGGAGGTATGTGCTCCACCACACACCAGATTTATCTGCTTGGTTCACCTCTGTTCTGCTTGTTTAGAGAAAAGTTTACAAATGTTTTTTTTTTAAAACCAGTAACAAATTTACAATCATTGAAACAATGACCTACTATAACTGTTAAAAGCATTGTGAGATGAGATGGGTAAAAAGATGCACGTGACCCTCTAGTCATCATTGGACTTAACTTGTCCATAACAGGGTTCGCTAAAAATGATAGAGACAGATGATCCTGACTTTTTTTTAAAACCCACCAAAACGTACAACGTATCTTTGTACCTGCCTCTGGTGAATATCTGAATTGAGATTGGGTTTTTTTTTGCCTATTCCGGATGAGCATTTCAATGTTTAGAGTCAAATTACTTTTCTTATGATTTTCCCCTGCAATGTTTTCTCTAATGAATTCAATTAGCTTACTATTCTTTATAAACTTGTTTCAAGTTTTATCAATTTCATTAAAATTTCTTATAATATTTCAATTTTACCGTATTTAAACTAGACAATATAAAAGCCATTTGTTACATGTTAATATAAAATATTTTTTAAAAAGTATTTTCGATAATTTTGATTAAAAATTTCATTAAAATTTCGTATAATATTTAATTTTACTGTATTTAAGCTAGACAGCCATTTGTTACATGTTAATATAAAATATATTTTTTTAAAGTATTTTTGATAATTTTGATTTTTTTCGGAAAATGAACAAGACACAAATTAATAAGTTTTTAAAATTGTTTGTTGGCCAAGAAAAAATGGAATTAATTGTTCTAGTATTTTGGTAATTTGAAGCTGTATACAGTGTATGATCTTGTGATGAAAGACAAACACTTGAACAAATGAATATTCACTTCAATACTTTTTCTCTTTTAAATCTGAGAGATCTGATTGGTTGTTATTTTTAGTCTCTAATCCATTGTTTTTAATTAGTACTTGTATAAAATGAATACTGGCTTTTTTTTTAACCTATTTTTGAGCTGAGCTTCTTTATGCCATGACCATTTGCTTCTGATATTTTATTATTAATACAATGCAAATATGCTGTAATGTAGCAGAAAAAATTGACCAACAAAATATTTTTTCTTTTGGTATTGTGCAACATCTTAAAGAATGAATCCAACCCTAGAAAACTGTATCCATCTGTTGCATGGAGCAAATAATGAAAGCTGTTTTTTTTAATTATTTTTTTTTTTTTAAAATTAATGAAACATCTTTAAAGACTTTTTTTTGATAAAAATTCCTGTGTCCAAATACGAATTTTAAATTAAGCTTCATAAGCTGACATGAATTTTTTCCTGATTTTGGGAATGAGATTATTGTATGAAGTTCCTATTAAACAGCAAACTGTTATAGCAATCATATTTGTAAACATGTTACTTATATTACTCTTATCTCTGGTGAAACTTTAAATAACTGACAGAAGTTTCAATTAAGTTCATTTTTTTCAGGGTAGCTTCAGTGAATTTAAATCATTTCCATTCAGTGGCTATATGGGGATATCTGTGGAATTCTGTGAACTTAAAACATTTCCATTCGTGACTATATGGGGATATCTGTGGAATTCTGATCTTTATAGTATTTTTATTTTAGTTAAACATTATTTGCTTCTTCTTGAACGGGATTTCTTTTTTACATTTGCTTCCATTTATTAGTTTAATATGTTTTTTTCAATTAAGCCAGTCTTCCTTGTGTTTGGTGCAGCTTTCTACATTTGAATCAATGCAGTATCATTACATGTTTTGTTAAGGCCAGAGGAACTTAGTGCTGTTTTCTCTTTTGATCAATTTGTACATCTGTACATTCGTAGGTATTACTGAAAGTTGTACATTTTTAATTAGGGTATTACATCTTGACATTCTTACCAATTGCTAGATGTTTGTTTTTGGGTTTTTTAATTGCTTACCAGTACATACCTAGAAGTTGTAAAAAAACAGCAATGAACAAATGTTTTGGTTATTTTGCACCCCCTCCCCCAGTTCCAACACCACCCCCTCCTAATGCTTTCTCACCTCCACACACACAACAGTTTTAGGTTTGATCTGCTCACTCTGAAAACCCTTCAGAGTTATTTAAAGTATGTTTTTGAAATTCAAATAACAGCATGGGGGACAAAAAACACTTTGACAAGAGATTGTGTGAAGTCACTTACCATTCATCCCAAGCCTTATGTCCCAGGCCTTTTATACCACACCTTCCATTATAGTCCTTTTGCAATGGAATACTTAAGACCGGGGATTTGGAGAAAATAATTTGTTTTTGCCAAGCTCTGCTTCGGACAATATTTTTATCAAGCTCTGCCCCGACGCCGAACTCCCTTATAGGGGTTGTTAAAGAGGTGCTAAAGTAGTCAAGAATGTGCTGATTAATGTCATTGACCCATCTTATTAACTAGGCATTAGAAAGGTATGTACCAGCACCATAGCCGGTAGAAGAGAGGGGCAACATAGCGGTAGATGAGTGGGGAAATTTAAACTGTTGAAGAATGGGGGAAACATAACTGGTAGAAGAGTTAGGCATCATTTTTAAAGAATAAAGAATAATTTTCAAAAATGATGAAGTACAAATAATTTTTTTTTAAATTTGTACAAAATTAATTATTCAAATTTTGGAGCTTGGAACAGTAGGAAATTTTAACCAGCTCCACTCCAGCAAGACCCTGCTCCAAGCTACTCTCAAAATCCCTGCTTAAGACACAACTGACGCGTCCCACACCCTTTTCCAAATCACCACATTCCCTACCAGGGTTTTTCTTTAAATGAGGTGACAATGAATGATTGAACAAAGACAACAATGAATTGATTGAACAAAGACAATAATGAATTGATTGAACAAAGACAACAATGAATTGATTGAACAAAGACAACAATGAATTGATTGAACAAAGACAACAATGAATTGATTAAACAAAAGCTAGTGATCTGAATATGACTATGTGAATCTCAGGTTTATTTGTTACATTTTGTTTAGTTACTTCAACTGCACAAAATCAAAGCTGGATAGCAAAAAAATTTACTTTAAGCTTGATTTTTTTTTTTTTTTCCAATCCCAAAAACCTGATAGAGAAACTAATGGCCAGTAATATAATCTAACTTAAATGTTAGCCATGAATCTAGTTGAGATCATCATAATGTATTGTATGACTCATTGTGTCTGTTATTAGCTAGCATGTAACAGTTGGCTTGAATTAAATTAATGGCCTACATTCATAAGTGTCACTGTGTGATGAATCCATATTATACTGCAAATCAATGTCACCTAACATTATCAGTGGACAAGGAGCTATCACCCAGTGGACAAGGAACTATCACCGCTAGTATTCCATATCATAAACTTACAGAAATCATTATGGTTTTTAAAACAAATGTTAACCAGAGTTGTTCATTTTTTAGATTTTGCAAAGCATCCTTTTTTTATTCATTTCCAATCATGTTATCTATGTCAACTGATTTTTAAATTTGAAATTTATGGAAATGCATATGCCTTATGTAATGTATGCATATTTACAATAATTTAATCTCTGAAATTCTCATTAAATTTGTTTTGTTACTCATTAAGTTTGTTTTGTTAAGAGCCCCAGTCATTGGGCAGGTTTCCCTGCTCTTTACATAATGACTTTTGGTAAAGTAGTTAAATTAAAATTATTTCCCTTTGTTATGTCTAAGAGGATCAAATTAATTTTATTTTATTATTATTATTTAGCAAACTTTTGTTCCGATTTTGAGTCTTTTTTTCCCTGATGGTGAAATAAAATTATTTTTAAAGCTGACCTGCTGATTATTTTAAATGAAATTTGCCAACACTTGTTTAAGATCGCTGAACTTTGTCTTCGCTTCTACAAAGACCGGAATTTATCAATGCATACGACCCATTTGTTACGACATATTTTGTTTCACTGCCTGTCTTATCAATGAATATTTCATTTAAACATGATGCTCATAAAGGTTTGATTTGATTTCTTTCATTCATTGTTATTGTTTGGCTCAAAGACAAGGGCAGTTCAGATATTTGTTTGACACAACAGGCTAAAACTCTCAAGCCCAGATTTTCACAACCAAAAATAATTAATGGCTAGTAGATTTGAAAGAACTTGAGGGCACTGATATCATGCCAATATAAGGCCAAAGCAAACTAGACTAGAAATAACACATAATAACATGGTGTTCCAACATACTGATGCACTACAAGAACATGGTTTTCTACTATACTGGTGCACTTCAAGAACATGGGAACATGGTGCCCATGTTCCACCATTACTAAATAATGCAGTGCAC